TTAAAATGATAAAACTGAAAAAAGTTTTTATTATGAATAATTATTTAAATTTAAAAAATAGTAATTAAAAGGGTAAAATTGAAAAAACAAAAAAGAAAAAAAAAGTGTATCTTCTATATATAATTATAGATAATATAGTATTTCTATAAATATGTTTATTCACCATTTAAAAATTTAAAAATTAAAATTTACTCAATTTAAAAAAAAAATACAAATATAATTGAAGTAAGTAGTTTTTCGTGGACAATAACTTATATTCTCATGGGAATATATCATATCCTCGTCCTCTTTTTGAGATTAAAAAAAGGACTAAAATGTAATTCTCAACTTTATTGCATTTTAGATAATTTATATATGATTTAGAGTAAGAATATTACAAATTTTGCTTACCAGGCCATAATTTTCATGGATGTTCCTTCTATATTTTCTATTTTTTGTTAGTACATATTGAGCTTGGATATACTTGCAATGCATTTTTTTTTTCAAAAAGAAAAGGCTTAATTCATTGAAAAAACCAATCTTGAAAAGAAAGCTCAAATCTTAAAAGACACTAAAAAGATGCGAGAAAAGAGAAGAAAAAAAAGTGGAAGAAAATCAAATAACGCCACGAGGATTCAAAATGACGTGGTTGCAAGAGGATTGCTTTCCATCATGAAGAAAGGTGTGCTCATAACTCAAAAGAGCATACATCTGACTCACCATAATTTCTAGCAATAACCATATGATATGTCAGATCATAACATTTCAAAAAAAAAAAATAACATTCAAAATATATCTCGTGGGTTGGGTTCTTCCCAAATCTTCTTATTTTACGTTTTAATTATAATTTGGACAAAAAAATCTTTTGACCATTGTCCTTAGCAAGTGTTTCTTTTTCTTATTTAAATTTAAGATTCTATTGACTTTAACAATTTCAAGATATTTTAAATTTTCCTATTCAAATTTAACAACTCGTATGAATAGTTATTAAAATAATATCAAGCATAGATTAAAAAATAAATAATTAGTAATTAATTTTTATATTAAGCTTAAATCTAGATTGAAGTTTGGTCTAGGCAACTCTGATCAAAAGTCGACCTAGGAGAGACCCTGACTGAAGGTTGAACAACATCAACCGAAAGTTAATCAATACTACTATTATTGAAGTTCGGCTACATCTGAACATGTTTGAGTTCATGTCAGTACTTAGCCGAGATTGGACTCCATCGGCTCCAACTAAAGTTGACCTAATCTTTTCTATACAAAGGTTAATTGTAATTGGATTGGACAAAGGTTTAAACCTGAGTCGGTCATTAAAGTTGACGGAGTTTATCCTAAATAAAGGTACTCGAGTCTATCCCAAACAAGGTTACTCGAGTCTACTCCAAAACAAGGTTGAGTCCAAGATTGGTCCTAAACGAAGTGCAAGTCGAGTTCGGCGTAATAAAAAGTTAGCACGAGTCGACTCCGAATGGAGGTCAACCTGAGGACGACCTCGAATAAGGAAGAGCCAAGTAATCTCGAGACGGCGACTCGGTCATCAACGAACACAAATCAAGCCTAGTCGACCTTAGATGAATGTCAAGTCAAGTCAATTCCAATTAAAAGTGGGTTTGAGTCACGCCCAACCTAAAGTTGAGTTGACTTCAAGCTATAACATGTCCAAAGTCAAATCGAGTCAACGCAACTCTAGGTTGAGCCAAGTTAACTTAAACCCAAGTGAAATTAAGTTTCAAGTCAAGTCAAACACTCCTAACCCAGATTAACTTAAGTCAATTTTAAATTAACACAAATCAACTTAAATCCAAAACGAGACAAACATATATCTAATGGACATAATTGTTAAATATATTAGATATTTTAAAAAACTTGATTTAAATAATAAAGTATACTCAGTATACATTTAATTAAATTTAAATTAAATTGAAAAAAAAATCAAATATATATTATCTAATTAAAATGAATATATATTTTTGATCCAACCTATTTTATTGGATTTAAATTAAATCTAAACAGAACCAACTAATATTAGCGTTCTTCATCACTTATATTCACAAGTTAGTAGAGTAGTTAGTAGTCGTTGAGGAATGTATTATTCCAATATCAAAAATATGGAATGATAACTTTTTTATTCTTAGACTAATTATGTGTTCGTATTGAATGATTTATTTACGGTTAAAAGACAAATATAAGAGTGACCATTATGTTCGATAATTGCAACAACTTGGAGGTGAGTAAGAGCAATGAGGCAGTGACTCTCTTAACTGGTCTCTCCTTGCATGAAATAAAAGAATGGCATCTGGAATAGGTTCCCACTGCAACCAGATTCCCTACAACCAGAACCAATTTTTCTAATTTCTCTTCCAGAATTAGCTCCTCCTAAAACCAGAACCGGTTTCCAGTTCTTTGGGTGACTACATTGTCGGTGGCAAGTGGATTTTCGGCTTAGTCGCCGTCGTAACAGTAGCCGTCGTCACCGGTGACAATGGGTGAGGTGCAGCACAGTCCGGTGGTAGGTCCAAGGCTGGCGCCAACTTACTCAGTGGTGAATGCCATTTTAGAGAAGAAGTAGGATGGGTCGGGACCGCGGTGCGACCACACGTTGGAGGCGGCCGGAGAGGAGGGGACGTAGGGGTACATTGGTTCGAGGTGGAGTTTATTCCGCGGTGCCACTGAGCTTGAAGGGAATTCTGCGGCCTCAGGGACTCCTTCATCCGCTGGTCATGGAGGCCATGGTTCTGGATACTTCATTCCTCTTGGACACAATGTAATGCAATAAATGAGTTGAAATCTATGAAATTTTTGTAGCCACATTGATGTTTTATTAATTGTTTCCTTTATTTTTTTCAGTTAAATTGGAAGTTTATAGTTAATTTTAAAACGTTTTTTTTTTAAATTGGAAGTTATTTCATGACATACCTTTTTTAAAATTAAATTTAAAATAATCCACAAAATCAGTTTAGTACAATATTATAGATATATATATATATATATATTAACCTCTTAAAACGTACTAAATTAGAATAATATATGAAATTATTTTTATCAACTGAAATTTAGTATATTTTAAAATGTTACCTAAACAACTCTATAATAATAATAATATTAAATATATTAATTTTAACAAAGGGCAAAATATATCTTAAAAAAAAGAAAAAAAAACGCCCCCTGAAGATATTTTATCCACGTTTTTTGTTCGTTGTTTTAATAGTGATTTAACTTGTTTTTTAGTTTCTGAATTTTTTGAGCATTGTTTTATTTTAATTTAAGTAAATGAGCATTAAAATAGTTTACATAAAAGAAGAAAACTGTGTGAATCAGTACCCAAAAAAAATGCAGAAAAGGATATAACATCAAGGTATTTATGGATACATACGAAAAATTAATTTTATGACTTTTTTTAATTAAATATGAAACTTTTTTTTCTTTTACGTTCTTTTTTCTTTATAGACAGAGAAAGAAAAGATGATTTGTCTTTTTGTGTTATAAGTCATATTTAACCCATTTTAATACCACTTTTTACAGTTAAATATATTCTAATATATTTACTAATTAGGTTAGATACATTATTTTCATTTAAATGTAAGTAATTAATATTAGCATTCATATAATGTACTATTCACATTAATCAATTATTAAAATTGCAAAATTCTACAATCCTGAAAGTTCAAAATAGGCTAAATTACGTTTTGGACCAACGAATGAGATTTTACCGTGACAACGTTTTTGTGTGTTATTGTAGTAAGATCAAATTTGTTACCAAATTTTATAAAAACTATATTAAAATAAAATTAAAGAATCCATTAAACAGTATAAAAAGTTTTTTATTATATATTTTTATTGCAGGTTCAGTCTAATCCAACCCATAATTTCTTAAATATTTTCTACTACCAATGCCTAATCATTAAATCAATATAAATGTTAAATATGAGAGATAAAAAAAAGTGCAGGATGAAAGAATTTGATTTAAGAAAATATAAATAAATTTTGATTATCTTCTTTTGTTTAATGATATTATTTTATTTTATATTAAGTTCTAAGAAAATGTTACTTTTAAGAAGAATATTATTTTTAAATGGAGTTTGTTTTAGATGGAATTACTAAAATTAAATTACATCAGTTAACTTCTTTAATTAACATAAACGTTATTTTAGATAATAATATTTGACAACATTTTAACATCATTTACGTGTTATTCTGTGTTTGGTCTGTTGGTGTTTATGATTATTATTATTGATTGTAAAATAATTTTGAACCAATGACATATAGAAGATGTTAAAATATTATCAGAAAATATTGTTAAAGTATCCGTTATTTTAGTTTTTGAATAGTTAAACTCGGACAAGTCTCAAACTAACACACGGAAATTAAAATGATTGGACAACTTTCTGTACTATTATTAATTATAAATTAAATTAAAAACATAAAATCAAATGTAAAACTAATTTATTCAGCGCAGCAGAGTGTCTCTTGAATAATTTGTATAATATCATCGTCAAAAGATGAAAATTAATTAATAGAAGAATAGTCATCCTTTATTTGACTATTGCGTATCCAATAATTATACGCGTTGATTTAGATATTTAGGTAACTAAGTTTATAAATATTAATTGTTTAAAAGGGAGCTTAATATTAGTCACTTCCAAAATACAGTTAAGGTGTATTTGTTTTTAATTAATCTCTTAACACATCCAAATAATTATACGTAGAAAGAGGGGTTGATGGATTCATAATCGCTGTGAAGATTTAAGTAATCATATTTATTAAGTTTGTTATTATTCAGAATAGAAACATACAATATCGGGGTGGATGATCCTCATTTTCCATGATGGAGGCCACATATTCTTTATTTATCTCATCTTTATCGATAAAGAACCACGGGTCATAAAACGAAAGAAAATCAAATCTGGGCGTTTGATTAGTAGAAACAAGAGGAAGTGAACGGTTGAGATGCGAGGAGGAATGACGAAAGCTAACAAAGGGGTAAGTGGGGGGAATTTTCAATTTTTCCGTGCAATTCTTTTCTCGTACACGTAAACCTGCTCGGCACTTGCGCACACACACCAACACATCATCGTGTCAAATACCAACGAAAGCAATCACTCGCGCAGTTTCTTCTTCTTCTTCTTCTTCTTCTTTTTTCTTTCTCGTCTTCTGTTGCTGAATTTCGATTTCTCAATTCTCAATCTCAAGGTTCCATTCTCGCTCGCCACTCCTATCTTTCTGCTGATTTCGGACTCATTACTTGCTCATATCCCCTCCTTTTCCATGCTTATCAGCTCAGCTATTGGATACTGTGTCGTTTTTAATTTTTGTTTGCTGTAACTGATTTATCGTGTTTTCCCCTTTTCTTTATATTCTGTTGATACTTGATGACTGCTTCAAAATGAATTCGTTGAACTTTCTCCTGAGATTTATCTGTTTATCTGTTTCGCTTTTCTATCAATCTCTGTTTTCAAGTTTCAAATCAATCGCGGCCAGTTCTGATCGTTTTCCTCAGTATTTACTTTCTATTTAAAATTTGGTAATAGGTCTTGATGAATTTGATTGCGTTTCGGAGAGTTAGGTATAATTAGTCTCTTTCGCTGAGGTAGAGTGATTTCCACGCACGATCGTGAATTTGCGATAACTGAATGGGTTGCTGACTCTCGTGATTGCTTGCGTGTGTGGATTAGTGAGAAGTCCTGTTCTTATGATAATTAACTATGTGGAGGGATTGTACATGCATATGGTGATGAAGTTGAATTATCCACCCTGTGTGTGTGTGTGGTTTTAAATGTAGAATCATGGTCTTTGTATTAATTAATCATCTGAAGGGGTTTTGCATGTATAAGGTGAAATGATGCACTCAGTAGCTATAATTACTTTTGGATGCTGGAGATAAGGCGTGATGGGCGGTTGCTGCTGCTGTTGTTCTTCTAAGGAGACTGTGTTGAGCGCTCCACCTGCCTACTATTATGTCAGTGTGCTTTTCATAATTGAATTTTGTGCTTTTACTTTATTTTATTTTTAGCTTTTGCCTAACTTTGCTTTTCTGAGGAGGGTTTGATTTATTGTTGCGGGACATGCATCGATTTCACTGTTTTGTGGTTAGAAAATTTTCCACTTATATTCAGTGCTTTATTTCTCTTCAACAAAACCGAAAAGGAGGGAAAGACATAGATTGTGTGATAGACAGATTTGGCACGGAAGATGCTTGTAACTTGGTTTGCCACCTACTGAGGGAAGGCTTAAGAATGTTCTCAATGAAGTCTATTCGTGTAAGAAAGGAAACTGATAATAAGTGAAGTTGATCAACATACAGTCTTCCGTTTATTATAAAGAAACATATAATTGATCCTCCAGTGATAGCTGAATGCCATCAGTTTCGTCTTTTGGGGAACTAACTGATATGATGTCACTTTGAGGACCCAATTTAGTGTCATAATAACCTTTATAGACTACTATGATGCGATCATAAAGGAAGGATGAATCATTCAACTTATTAACGCAACGCCTAATTCTTAGAGGACCAAAATGAACATTTTTGCTCATGATAAAAAATATCAATCATATAAGGTGCAGCTTTTTAATGCTTTGTCAATGAGATTTTGAAGGCTGTTTCAAGTAACTGAGTTTATGATTGCTTTCCGTTGTTTACTATCTATGATTGTGATCTCAAAATGTTATAAAATTGCTTCATTTTCTGCATTTTCTATCTCAGCAGTATCCAAGAGCACCAGAGGAGCATGTTCCTCTATCATCTCACCAGGGTGCCGCTTCTTCTTTCTCTGGGCGACTCTTGGTTGATACTAATCTAGATACGTCATCTCCTGATACTTATAGACCTCCTCCTGCTCCTATCCCTTTCAATGTTACGTTTGGTACCACTCAAACTCCACCTGCAGCTCAAGAAATTCGTAGTGACAAGCATAATGCACCCTTGCTTTCTACAGATTCTAGTGCAATTCAAGAACCAGTATCTGGAGACAATCATGGGACCCCAGTTAAGATGGAAGAGCTGAAGGAATCAGAATGCAAAGTTCAGGCTGATCTAGAGATAGATTCTGCTAAGGGTTCTGAAATTGAACTTGCAAAGCCTGGAAAACCTGTAATTTTAGTAGAAGAGGAGGATACATGCCCAATTTGTTTAGAAGGTGATGTTCTCTTAGCTCCTTTTTTAATAATATTTCTAGCTGATGGTATTAATCAGGTAATTTATTATGTGACAGTTATTATGTTTACTGATGACGGATGTATATCCTGTTATCCTAGCAGAATATGATGCAGAGAATCCAAAACTCGCAACAAATTGTGACCATCATTTTCACCTTGCATGCATTCTGGAATGGATGGAAAGAAGTGAAACTTGCCCTGTGTGCGATCAGGTTTCTCCCAATAATTCTCAATCTCTCTTCTATCTTCACATCATTTCGAATATGTCCTAATGAATATGATACTTTGAACAATTCTGTCTTTTTCTAATGCAGGATTTGGTTTTCAACCCTCCCATTGAATAATACATGTCAACTTAGGAGTTCAAATATAGTGTGTGTGAGAAGCGAGATTACAAAGTCATGACTTTAATATGGTAGCAACCTGAATTGATGGCTGTATTTGGATTGTTTCGTTTTCTTTGTTTTCTGGATTATTCCATTTTTTACTCACTGTCCCCTGCGTTGCAGCATACAGGAAATTGAAGGAAATATTCTCTCTTTCATAGTTTTATGAATTAGCATGTTTCAAAGTGATATCTGGATGTTACATCCGAAAACAGCAGCCAATATGATTTCTCTTGTTGATTGTAAAACTTTTGTTACATTGTCAAAGAATGGTAGGATGCTCTCTCTCTTTGATCTTTTATAAAGGTGGGAATACTAGTTCTTCGTTTGAGGTGTTACTTCACATTGTATATTTTAGGCTTAAATAAGTTCCTGGTCTTTTTGGATTGTTTTTAATACTCAATCTTTTGTTCAAGTTTTATATATTGCTTGAGTCATTTCTACTCTCAACGTCTATGTTAGTTATTCCATGTATTAGTGTTGAATAACTCTATTACCCCCATTAACATATGATACGTGATCCGTGATCATATGATGCAAAATATACTCTCTTTTTTATGATAAAAATACTGAAGGATACAATTTTTTTTTAAGAATAATTGAAAGTAGTTTTAGTGTGTTGACTTGGTTATAAATGTGCTGTCATGATATTACAGGTGTTGCCAACATTTTGGTCTTACGCAATGACCAGTTATTACATTGACACGGAAAGAAAAAATTATAAGAGCTCTGACCAACAATGAAAAAATATTGAATACTCAAAAATATAAAATGTTGTAGGGTATTTAATTGAAAAAAAAATTAAATTTATTTAAGCCTAAATATAAATAAATATTTAATTTAAGGATTTAAATAAAAAGCTTATAGGATATTCAACAAAAATCAATTATATATTAGGCGTATGAAACTTCTTTTAAATCTATATTTTATATTGAGATCTATTATTACGAGAACGTATTCATAGGATTATGCATATATAATAGATTGAAAGGACAAAAGAAATCATACTCTTATCATTGAGTTCATTATTTAAGAGAATAATGAGAGGAAAACTAGTTTTCTCATTGAACTGAATAATTGAAAGTAGTATACTCAATATAATTATATTTTTTGTACGCATTATAAGTTTGGTATAAGAATATATTAAGATATCCAAGGTGACACACATTTAATGACTAATTTTGGTAATTTTTGAATATATAAAATTCAAGTGGTTAAGTCTTGTTAAATTATTATAATGGCTTAATTGTTTGGTTAGTGTTTAGTTGGTATCCGCTTTTAAAAATGTTCTCATGTAATATAATTGGATCACTCAAGTCTCTTTTTAAATTGTCAGAAATGGAGTTAACTTGGTGGTGATTTAGTAAAAAAAGTTTGCCACTTTTTTTTCTCTCCTTTGGTCATTTGTTCTGTAACTTGATGTACTTACATTTTTTGAAAAAAAAAAACATATAAAATAGTTTCACACCATAATGATAAATCTTGAGAGTCAAAATTTGTCTGCCAAGTGGTGACAACAACCTAATAACTACGTGTTTATAAAATTTTCAATTTCAATTTTAATTTGTGGCCAATTTGAATTTACTTTATTATGATTTTGAGGAGAAAAAAAGAAAGCACAAAGAATAAAAAATTCTAACATTCTCATAAATAACATTACAAAATGAAAATTAAACACGAAATTTAATTTATATAAAGTATATGGTAAAATTATATCATTAGAAGAGATAAATTTAGTATAAAAAAATATACTTTGGATGTAGAAGTCATTGTCTTCTATATATAT